GGGGGGGGGCGTTATTCATAGTAAGGCAAAGCATCCTTTTTGTAAAGTTCACTGCTAAATAACACTATCACATTTAACGGGAAAATTACAGTTAGCTTCATGGAACGTGATATAAATATAGATACTGTTGATATATCGCAAAACATGTTCGTTAAAGGAAACAACATTAATGAAGCAGCTATTATCATACCGCACAGAATGAGTGGTATATCAAACTGTAATTTTTCTTTGAAAAACTGTTGCAGTGCAAAAACATCAATAACATTTTTATTTTGGATTTTAAATTATTAGCGAAGCCTTCAATATATTCCCATGCAGTACAATGTAGATATATACATTGTATATCTTCAATAGATATTTAAACTTAAATTTCTATTATCAAAAGGCAAAACAAAGCTGAAGATAAAAGATTAAAACAATTAAAAGCAGAAACGGAAAAAGTCATTTCGTCTCAAGATTGTTCAATCTGTGCTATATTTTCTATATACCATATATTTATATTACACTTTATTTGATAAGAAACTAAAATCTAGAGTTGTAGAAATTTTGATCTAAAAAATATGAGAAAAAATAATTTAAGGTCAAGTAAGGGTGTTTGCGAGGTTATAATTAATAATTAAACAGCATTAGTGTGTTAAAAATAATGATTGTGGCAGATAATTTTCACTTCTTATTTTTTATTTGCAATCCAATCTAATAAAAGCTTATCACAGAACTTCACATGCAAAAATATTAAACTAAAATACACTAAAATTGTATGGATTATGGATCAAGAATACGTAATTGTTTGGCTATTAAATCAATTCACACCAAGACTTTATTATTAAATTGTGAACAACAAATTATTCATACATTTGAAGATCACTTAATTAAATGCCTCTATGCGTCAATGAAAAAATACGCAGAAAATGAACTAAGCGAAATTAAAAAATCTTTGTCAGAAAAGAATTTTTTTAATATTTCAAATGAAAACCTTGGAGAAAGCATCATAGATAGCTTGAAATTGGGAAAAAAATACACACCTAAAACAAAGTATAACATAAAATCTGAGATTGCAAACTTTAATATGGAAATAGGAAAGACTCTCGAAAACTTTCTATTACGAGAATTCAGTCTTCACACAAAAATAAATTCTGGTAACGTAGCTCAATGGTTTCAGAATAAAACTAATCATGTTAATTCAAAACCACTGTATGAATTTTTAACAATAGCTGAAACTGCTTATAAAAAAGAATTGAAATTTTTTAAAAATCAACTTTACTTAAATAAATCCAAATTAAACAATCTCCCAAATGAAACATTTTATAGGAAAGCATTCGAAACCAATTCAAACTTAATTATACTTGAAGGAGATAAAAATGTCGGGTATGTTTGTATGTATCTATCTGATTTACTGAAACAGTACGAAAAAATTAATATTCAACAGCACTTTGGAAAAACAACAATAGATGAAAAATGGTACATAGAAAGTATTATAAATTTCATAAAAAACGCTTTTAATCATTTACCAAATGAGCTCAGTGCTATAATTAAAAAGTCGGACTTCAACATTAAAATTAAAAAACCCGAGATTGGAGTACTAAGACTCCAACCAAAAATCCTAAAATTAAAACAAATAAACCATTCAAATGTTGAAAAACTAACGTCAAGAGGGATAAAAAGTTCTATGAATGACCCAATAAAAGTGATTCAAAAAATATTAGATAAAATTTTTAGCCATTTACTATTTTATGTTGAACAAGAATTTCACAATAAGTTTTCAACATGGTCACCTTCTGTAAATGGAATACAAGAAGCCATCAATAGAATTAAACAATCTAAAGTTGGAAAATGGGGATCCTCCATAGAAATAGAAGGGGATTTTACTGATCTATATTCTAATTGTAAAAAAGAGTTACTAATTGAAAGTGTAACAACTGCAGCAAAATTTGCTAAACTTCATGAAAGCTCAGTCAAATATATAGCAATGTTAATAGAATGTATCATGAATCATTCCTATTTTAAACAGCCAACAGGAATATATAAAACTCTCAATGGGTTCTCCATGGGTGATTGTTCCGCAGCCAGGGGAAGTGAATTAATTCTAAGAATTTCTGAACTTAAAATTTTTAAAAAACTACGAAATAATAAAAACCTCACTAATATTTCAAAATATCTCAGGTTTAGAGATGATGTCTCTATACATCTAACTGGAAGCTTCAAAGAAATGATGAATGCCATCAACACAATTTGTACTGGGTATCCAAAAGAGATCATCTTCAATATGGAAACCAAAATTATCCAAGGTAAATTCCTGAGTATCAGAGTTATTAACTTTCCAAAACAGACCAACCCGATGACATCAGTTTTAAGAAAACCAAACAATAAATATAATATAACTCCGCCAAATTCAAATGTTAGTTGGAAATTTAAAAAAATGGCGGGTGTCAGCTATTTTCACACAGCAAGAACACATTGTACTAATAAAAAAGAGTTACAAAACCAATTAAAAATAGTTCGTTGTATACTTGAACTAAAAGGATTCTCAAAAAATCAAGTAAAATGCATTAGTTTTGCGGGGCCTGGAGGTAATTCTGCAAATCCTGAGGTTCGGAGATCATTTTTGCGGGGATCATGGCGCCTCTGCACCCCCTCCCTAACTGGGCAGTTTTTTTTTGCAAGAATAAATCAGTGTTTTTTTTTCACTGCAGGGTAAAAATAGGCATAGCCAATTACTATTAAGATATTTTCTAAAAATTTGTTCACAAAAAATTGAAATGTCAAAAATTTACTGCTTATAGTAGTTACATGGCCTATAGATGGGGCGGGGCTATTTCCTTTGGATCATATACAAAGTGTTTTGAAACAAATTTACTTATCAACGATTTTTAATTTACGACATTTGGACATTATCATTTGATGGTCAAACCACGTATTACAGTCCTATGTCCTGTGGAACACAGGGTACGCTACATTTTCTCATGTCATTCATTCTTTTAAATACTTGTTACCCCGAAAATCATGTATTTTCCCAACTTCAGTGAGAAAAAACCCCTTTAAAGTTAATTTCTTCTGGGGGAAAAAATTTATTTCAAAAAGGGGGAATTATCTTTTAA